ATACATACATACATACATACATACATACATACATACATACATACATACATACATACATACATATATTGTGTGTGTTATTTACGTTTGAATCGTCATCCACAAAACAGAAACGCAGCTATATAAGCAGGCAATATACGAGTCAACACCTATCTATTGATGCATTATTGAAATGTGAATTCACTTCTAGAATGCATTTACACACACACGTATCATGTTATGTGTGTGTGGGAGACATGCGTACCCATGCCATGCATATATACAAATATATGCTCACAAATTATAATATAATCCAATTATTCAAGTGAATAATTGACATTTCCCCTTTATAAAAATGATGATCTTTTATTCAAAAAATATTAACGAAAGGTACTTTACAATGCCAGTTAACTATTTGGTTTTTCCACCGTTATGATTATCGTTTCCCAATAGTTTATATATATTGATTTGCCAAAATTTGTATACGTGTATATATGTATGTCCAATAATACTAGTTGTATTTGTTGAAAGATTAATATCCATTATAACGTATGTCCGAAAGAAAATAAATGGAATTTAGACATTTTTTTTCTTGTTCCAACAAATGAGAAAAAGAAAAATGGAAAATATTTTTCAAAAAAAGGACAAATAAATAGAAAATAACTTGAGTTTGGATAGTCTAGTGATAAGATAACATGCAAACTATATTTTTATCACGTATTCAAATCTAAGGGTAGAAAAGAATATTCACTCGAATTTTTTTAGTTTTCTATGAGACATAATTAGATTAGGTAATGTTTCAGAATAAAAAAAAACAAATGGAAATTAAATAACCCATTGTGCCAATGAATGTATACGAGGACCTCTCTCAACTCGTCAGGCAAAGTATGCTCCAATGGAAGAGCGCCACGTGTTCACAGAGAGGCCAAACCGCCACGTTCCCAATACGTAAAATCTGCTTACCATTTCGTTAATGGATGGACAGATTCAGTTATAATATTTCAAAATGGAACATTATGAAAAAAGTATTCAATTAAATTTTGGTATTTTTCAAATTAGATAGAAAGTTCGATTCTAAACGCGTCGGACAAATTGGAATTCCACAAGTAAATTCCGGAGAAATGGCTACATAAGCACATGTGTTGATGCAGATGTCAAAGGTGTGACACTATAAGTTCAATTATATGCACAGTATATATGTTAAGAGTGTATAATTGGAGCACATACCTGTAATCTGGTAAATGACACGTGTCGTAAACCCAATAGGGAACAGTGGAGCCTCCTGATCTAATCTATATATAGAGTCTGACATTAGATTTTTGTTTTTTTGGACAAATTTTTGTTCCAGAATCATCGTATTATTGAATCCACTTCGTGTTTCTTTCAATCCTATTCACACGAACAGGATCATGTCGTGTTTGCTAACGAAAATGTGTCTTTGTAGGAATGTATATATGGGGCCATAGGAGAAAAACAAATCATTATTCGGATTTACTAGAACTGAAATTAACTTTCGTTTTTTAATTTTATATAAACATTTAGTATAAATTAGTTTAAATAATCAATAATAATTTTATTGATACCGGTACGAGATCAATGTAAATATAACGATGCACGTATGCATGTATTTTCTAGAGTGGTCAACTTTGGAAGTTAAAACCTTTGGTGGTTCAATTTTTTTATTGCAGCAAATACTGATATCAAATGCTAATATTTGAATTCTAAAATTATATTATCTGTAATTTCACATTTTATCGTATTACCGTACACATGATTTTTTTTTTGTGTTGAATGAATAGATATTCATTATGTGTGTTTTAGATTATTGAATAAAAATGAATAAAAAATATATTGAGAAATATTTCAAAATTATAGGCTACGTCGTCTATATTACACATATAGAGATTTTATACAATGTTTAAAAAAATGTGGAAATCGTGAATAAAACAAAATTGTATTTAAGAACGCTGAGAATTAATAAACCGAAAGGTAAGACCATAACTAACGTTGCGTATAAAACGCTGAGAAATTTAGACCGTTATCAAATTTATTTACTCTCTTTAACTGGCTTAATTCGCAAAAAAAAAAAATTATAATTATTCATGTGTTTTACACTCATGGTGCCCGATGAAACAAATGAACAACATACCAACGATTATAGGTAAAGTACATGAAATGAAATTAACAAAATAATACATACAAACTAATATATATTAAGAAAATAATACATACAAACGAAAATATAAATTACGCGCATACAGTACACGTAAATCTGTATGTATTAATGTATGTATCTATGTATGTATGGATGCATAAACTAATTAAAAGTAATACGATATAAATAAATACACACCATATTCTCGTCGGAAGATGAGGTGTCGCAAAACTGACGTGGCGATAACTTATAATATATTATTTAACTATTTGTTTAATGAAAATATAAATTTAAAGAATGGATGGCATGATCGAATCAACCGTTAATTTTTAATTGTGTCATCAATGACTCTATTCAAAGCAGACAAATCCCACTAACGACTTTCAATTTTAATTTTTTCTTATACTTTAATTTTTTTTTCTTATTTTTATTTGTCTACGTGATGCAACATTAAATTGAAAGATATGGTAGTTAAACCTATGTTGTACGGAAAATTTTTTAACACGTCTGTTATTATAGCTATATTAAATGCTTCTGTTTTAGTTAATTAGCCTTTGATCTAATATTGTTTCCATGATTCTATTATATTTCATATTATTTTATTCATATATTTTTTTTAAATATACTCAGTTCGGATATAATGTTTAGAGATGTATCAAATGAAGTTATAAAAAATCTTCGACATAATAATAATAGCCATATTAATAAACCAATTTCGTGATTCGCGTGGTTTGTCAATATAATATATTTTTTTTACGTGTCAATATAATATTTCAATCTATCGTAACGGAAAATTCGGATTTCATCTCTAGATTGACATGATCGAAAATACAACGAATAAAAAAGAGATACGAAATTGCAAATTATATTAATTAGTAATTTTGAATTCAATCTAATGAAAACAAGAGTATTATTTACTCACGTGACAGATGAAAACCAATGCCGCCGAGTGGGATACCGAATCGTAACTTGTCCCCCAACTTAGGAAGAAACCAGTTATTATTATTTTATTTTTGAAGGTTTCTTCTTGGTGTAATTTTTTTTAATGGATAGTGATGTAGATAACACTTATCTCACCACCAATATATTAATCGGGGTGAGTGTTTCGGTCCCGTTTTGAAAAACCAAATCATATTAAAGTAAAAATTTCGATATTTTTTTCTAATTATATATTTTTTATAAAACCGAATTTTCTATAATCGAAACGAATTCTATAAAATTCCCGAAAAATCAAAATTATCTTAAAAAATCTATTTTTTTTTTAATAAAAACCGAAATCGAACCATATCGGAGGCAAAACCGAACCGAACAGAATAGTATACGGTACTAATTTGATATAATTTTTAGAGTACCGAATAAACCAATCTCGAATCGGATCGCTAAAATTCCGATCTAAATTCTGAAACGCTTACCTCTAACTCTAATATTAATTAGTCCTCTATTAATTTTATTTCTAGCAAATAAAATATCAATCATGTAAATATTTCAGATGACTATAGTAATATTTTCTTATTCCACAATTATTTGGAATACAGAATAGAGTAGGGATGAATTTAGCATGTGGTATTTCGTTGTAATTTCGATTTTGTACTGAAAATCCTAAAAATAATTAGATAAAGAAAAGGAAGTGTGAACCCGATGGAGAATAAATAAATAATATATGATGAGCGCGTTGGAGGGGAAATGAAAAGGACGGTGAGCATGAAGGAGAAAAGGCCACGTGTCCAGACAGAGATAAAGCCACGTGTCACAGCGGAGGACTACGTTATGAGGCCAAAACGCGGGCTGAAGACGTGTCCTTTACACTCAACTCACTAAAGATAGAGAGAGAGAGAGAGAGAGAACACAATGGTCCAATCGGAGGTTAGAGAGAGAGACTAAGACCTCGTGAATGTGCATTTTATTATTGTTATTATTATTATTATTTATAATGTATTTATTTGGTTACGCCGCACAACGTAAATTACGTTGACACGTTGGTTTATTGAACAGTTAAACAAAAAAGAAACTTTAATGTAAATATCGCATACCAAACATGGACAACAACAGGTCTATTAGAATTGTCTCTTTGGAATAATATATAATTTTATTTAAAAATATTTTCAATAAAATTTGAATCCAAATCAGATAAAAGAAAAAAAAAAATAATTGATATAACTCTTACAAAACTTAAGAATAAAACAACCAATGGAACACAAAATACCTAACACTATAAATAAATAATTATCCCATCTAAACTTTTAAATTATAACATCGCATTAATTTTAAATTTCTATTACAACGATCTTTATTACTTCAGCTGTACTTATATAGGAATATAAACTCTGAAAGGAAATATGCGCATCGCTCAATCAAACTCCTAATCTATTAACATCTTAACAATAACAAATCCAACAAATTTTAATCGGAAAATCAAAGCTAGGTCTTGAAATTTTAATCGGACAACTACTTGTCATTTCGTTTCTTTTATAATAAATTCAGTTCATATAAAAATAAATAAAATATAAATATATTTAAATTAATTAATATATTTTTTTTAAAATGAAATATTTAAACTAAAGAGTAATTCAGTAAAAACCCGAAATATCCAAAAAACATAACAAATGAAACATGATATTCAATAAATGGAAAGTGAATCAAACCACACACTTGGAAGGTTTGAGACTCAAGAAAGAACACAACGACCAAAAAGACAGGAGGGGGGGAGAGTTTTAAAGTGTGCAAAAAAACTTTGTTTGAATGTTTTGTTTTCCACTCACTCCCATCTCTCTGTCTCACTGCAACACGTGGTAACCCCCATGGGCCCCACACCCCCACTCCCTAACACCCTCTGGTTTATATATACCCTCCAACTTCATCTTCATCTTCATCTTCTCAATCTCTCTTCCCCATACGCTTCAGACGCACACCCAGACAGTAAAAAAGAAACAATTTTCCAGGTTGTTGTCGGAAAAACACAGTAATGGCTTCGTTATCGGCTACTGCGACGGTGTCGAGGAGATGGCTTAGTAGTAATCATCAGCCGCCATTCTCGTCGAGCTCTGAACTGGGTTGTTGCTCAGTACCCATGACTCGTACAAAACACAAGCCTTGTGCTTCATCTTCCCTCCACTCTCCCTCTATTCTTCCTTTCCCTAAACACGACACCTCTTCGTCTTCTTCTCCTGTTGTCACTCCGACAACGACGAAGGAATCCGACAAGGAGCTCAATCTGTTCCAGAGAGCGGCAGCGGCGGCTTTGGACGCGGCGGAGAGTTTGTTGGTTGGTCACGAGAGGAACCACCCGCTCCCGAAAACCGCCGACCCGCAAGTCCAGATCGCCGGAAACTTCGCGCCGGTGGAGGAACAGCCCGTCCGGAGGAATCTTCCGGTGGTCGGAAAAATCCCCGATAGTATCAAGGGAGTGTATGTACGGAACGGAGCAAACCCTCTTCACGAGCCGGTCGCTGGTCACCACTTCTTTGACGGCGATGGGATGGTTCACGCCATTCGGTTCGAGGACGGTTCGGTTAGCTACGCTTGCCGGTTTACCCAGACGAACCGGTTGGTCCAGGAGCGTGAATTGGGTCGACCTGTTTTCCCCAAAGCCATCGGAGAGCTTCACGGTCACACCGGAATCGCCCGTCTCATGCTCTTCTATGCTCGGGCTATGGTCGGTTTAGTCGACCCGACCCACGGAACCGGCGTGGCTAACGCCGGTTTGGTTTACTTCAATGGCCGGTTATTAGCCATGTCGGAGGACGATTTGCCGTACCATGTACGAATTACTCCGACCGCTGACTTGAAGACTGATGGTCGGTACGATTTCAATGGTCAACTCAAATCCACCATGATCGCTCACCCCAAGGTCGACCCAGAATCCGGCGAGCTCTTCGCGTTGAGTTACGACGTTGTTTCAAAGCCTTACCTGAAGTACTTCAGATTCTCGCCGGACGGGACGAAATCGCCGGACGTCGAGGTCAATCTCGATCAACCCACGATGATGCACGATTTCGCCATTACAGAGAATTTCGTCGTGATCCCCGACCAACAGGTCGTTTTCAAGTTGCCGGAGATGATCCGAGGTGGATCTCCGGTGGTTTACGACAAGAACAAGGTCTCGAGATTTGGGATTCTCGACAAATATGCAAGAGATTCTTCAGGAATAAGATGGATTGATGCGCCTGACTGCTTCTGTTTCCATCTCTGGAACGCTTGGGAAGAGCCGGAGACGGAGGAGGTCGTCGTGATCGGATCGTGCATGACTCCACCGGACTCCATTTTCAACGAGTCCGACGAAAATCTCAAGAGTGTCTTGTCTGAAATCCGGCTGAATCTGAAAACCGGTGAATCCACACGCCGACCAATCATCTCCGACAGCGAGCAGGTCAACCTCGAAGCAGGGATGGTTAACAGGAACATGCTCGGTCGGAAAACGAGGTTCGCTTACCTCGCCCTCGCAGAGCCATGGCCGAAAGTCTCTGGCTTCGCCAAGGTCGACGGGGGAGCCTCTGTTTCTGCCGTGTGACGCTTCGCCTGAGAATCAAGAAGACGACGGCTACATCCTCTGTTTCGTGCACGACGAGAAGACATGGAAATCGGAGTTGCAAATAGTCAACGCCATGACTTTGGAGCTCGAAGCAACGGTCAAACTTCCATCGAGGGTCCCGTACGGATTCCATGGGACCTTCATCGGCGCCGGTGACTTGGCGAAGCAGGAGTGATTTCCGACGCATACGGAGTATGTGGCGCGTATGTTTATGTGTATATACGTACATCTATATACGTATATAAAGGTTTCTAGAAGGAGGGTAGTGGATTTACCTGTGGGATGCTCTGCATATACGTCCCCGGAATCTGCTCCTCTGTTTTTCCTTTCTTTTTGAGGTTCCGTTCCCCTGTTTTTGGGTTTTGGGGTTTCTTTTGTTAGTTTTCGTTTTTTCGGGGTCAATGTATAAATGTGGAAGATGTTGAGGGACCAGCTTGCAGCTTAGTAGGGTAGCGTTTGGAGCTCAGCTGGTTTCTGTTTATTCTTTCACTCGTTAATGTTGGTTTATCTTAAAAATGCAAGTATATAGAAAATTAAACCCAAAATGAAATATACACATATGTGTATATATATATATATATATATATATATATATGCATTTATCTGTTATTTATGAATTCATGTCTCTAATTATTAATTCTTTATTACTGTAATCTAGAAAACCAAACAAGTAATTAAGATAGAACAATTAAGTTATTTATTTATACGGTAAAAGTACAATTTCACGCATGCAATTCTAACCAACGGTCCAATGGGAGGAGAGAGAGAGAGACAAATAAAACTTTATAATTGCTATATTAATTAGTTAGTCAATTTTGCATTTGCATTTGCATGGAAGATGTATATATGCATGTGGTCAATTTCAGCAACAGAATCTAACATTATGCAGTAACAAAGACAGGGGAAAGAGAAACGAACGAGTGAAATCAAACCACGTAGAAAAATGCTATATAAAAAAAGAAAAACTTTACGCATGTACCTGTATATACATATATACGTACGTATATAGTTGGACATGACTTCATCGAATTTACACACTAAAAAGATAAATTCCGATATTATTACACGTCGTTTTCATGAGCTTATATAGAAATAAAATGTATTTTATAGAGGCAGAACCGTATTGGTTGATATATATATCAGTGATGATGAGTGGCAATGCAGTGGAGACCAATCACAATTAGTGGAATTCTGGGTTAATTAATAATAATAATAATTTCAAAAAGAAAAAAAAAAGAAAGATAACGTGTTTGTTTTCTTCAAATAAAAATTTTATAATATTAATTTCAATGGAGACAATATGGTTGGTTTTGGATAATATATATTACAGAATTAATTTTGATAGCTAGGGTTAGTCTTTTTCTCTTTTGCTTTTATTTATTTATTTAAAAAAGTCAACTTTCAAAAGGGATTTCTCTACCGTGTACTAATTAAGATTAAGACGATTCCAAAGTCATTGGCAGACAATGATTTACATGCTATGATTTGTAATCGTATCACCTTTAGTTAGGGACAAAAAAACACTGTTTGTGTCTTTGAATCCTCTTCCCTTGATTAAGGAACATATGATGTTATTGTCTTCTTTGAGATTGAGAAACACTCTTTAAATCTTATCATGCATTTTTTTTTTGGTTGCAAAACTATATTGATACAATTAAGGACGTATTTAGAAAATTGTATTATCAGAACACTTATCACAAATAAAATTAATGCTAAAGTTTATCAATTTTATATGATTTAATATAAATAATGAAGACTAATCTTAATGGAATATACGTCAATGCTATTAAGTTAGTTCCACCCAAATCTTTTTTTAAGAATTTGGAGAAGGCATACTAATATTGAAACTAGAAGAAATGAGAGAGGAAATTCACCATCTCGAAGTTTAAATCCATAAAACAAAGATTATAAATTGAAACGAAAAGAACAAAAATGGAACTTAGGCGAAAAAAATACGAACTTTTCATCGGATATGTTAGCCACGAGATCCTTGTTCTACATGTAGTATTATCTAATCATATATACGACAAGATGGGTTTGAATTAGAAATATTGAACCGCCCATGAGTATTTTATTATAAGACGAAACCACACATGAATATATAATCGGTAAATAATGTCACGTGTTGGAGTTGCATAGGATAAGGGGAAATGGGGCAAGGGGTGTGAGCAAAGGAAGCACCAAGCATACGTTCCATTTGCCGATTCTTGAGGATCAAAAGCACATTCTTTCATTATTGGCACACAAATCACAAGGATCCAAATAAGAGAGAGAGAGGAACCCTAGCTAGGAGCACCATGAAAATGTCAAAAAGAATTATTATTATATTTTTGTGCAACTTGCATCTATACGTGGCGGGTCTTCTTCTTCTTCGTGATTTTTTTTTTTGGGCTAATTTTCCACTATCTACCCTTTTTTTTAAAAAAATCCACTCAAAATTCATGTTGGAATATTGTGTTGTCTCCATTATTATTACCACAAACACAAAAAAAAAAAAAGAGAGAGAGAGAGAGAAAGGAGATAGGAATCTTTTTATCCCATCAATCAAATACACATTCTCAATTTCATCATGTTGTTGTGTACATTGCAACGACCACTAAAGCATCAACGGTTTCCTCTTTTCACTAAGTTCTGACTTTCTAAGTATGTGGAAGAAGTTGTGTCCTTTTCTATCAACTTACTTGGTTGGTCTTGGCTCCTTATAAATCTCAACTCGTATATATATATATATATATCACCTTGTTTCGGTTGGACAATCAATGGAGGTTAAAAAAACGTCAAAACCACGTGGAATTAGAAATTAAACACATAAGTTATCTGCATCAAAGTTGAATTCAAATTATTCTATACATAAATATCAGACCGGTATATAACATTAGATCATGAGGCGTTTAACGTTTGTCTCGTCCCGAATTCGAACCATTAAATTTAAAAAAAGATATTCACATGAATTTCAGTTACCCAAAATATTAGGTCACATGTCCCGATGCTACTTACTAATTTTTGTCGACTCATCTCATCTTTTGGTATATATATTCTAATAGTATATATATGTGATTGATTGCATAGGCGCATAAGATTTCGATTAGCTGCAGCGATCATCACGCTTTGATTTGTCAAATTAAGCAACCTTACCTTAAAAAAAAAATTGATTTGGTTAGGAAACTTATACCAAAATGTTGTGAAACTTAGTAGGCCAAGTAGGAGTAGTTCAATTAGTTTATTGGATCTTATTCTGAAATGGAATAAATATCGAATATACGGTGGCAATGCATTAGGAGTATAGCACCATATAATTGATAGCGGTCCACACTCTATGATTAAAAATACAAAGGAAATAGGGTGAGAATCTATTGGAACCAACAAATGAGTTGTTCATAACTATTTACCCAAAGTAGAAGGTGACCTTTTCCCCAACTCAACGAACATCCTAACCTCTTTCCC